TTACAACCAGGGAGCAGGATTCTCCCAGGAACTCAGGAGTCTCTCAAATGCTAGGCTGATACAGCAAGTCCTCAGGAGCAGAAAAAAACAAGAGAAACCATTACCCTGAAATATTGCTTCCCCACAGACTCCTGTTGGAGGAGGTCACGGAGAGGAGCCAGATCCCGGAAACTGGCAGCTCCCCGCCCCTCCCTGTCCTAGGAATGATTGTTCTGCCCACAGTGAGAGGCCCTTTCAAGCCTTCAGACAATGTGGTGTTATTGAGACCATCAGGGACCCTGTTAAGTTCTTGCGACTGAACCCCATTAAGGCCTCTATATAAACCTTTAAGATTCTAGCGGATGGGTGTGGAAATCTCTCGCCGTCACCCGAGCCTCGTATGTGTGTTCCCTTGCTTATTAAACCCACCACCTACCAACCTGGAGAGGTCTGCCTCTTTCTTTGCCCTCCGTGGATGGGAGCCCGTTTCAGGTTTTACTCAGGAGCTTCCTGAGGTTGGGAATCGGCAGCTAATTCTCTATATCATTAGAAAACAGTGTGGTGTGGCATGGTCCGCCTGCTCCATTTACTCTGCCTCCTCTGCCCAGTGCGCTGTGCAGGATCCTGTCTGCTCTCGCAGCCACACACACTCAAGGGAGAGCTGCTTCGTTTCTATTTTGCAGATGAGGACACTGAGGATCAGAAACACAATTGACAGGGTTTTAAATGCCTGTTGTGCTCCTTGAAGAGCCACGGATCACAGTTCTCCGTCAGGGCTCGGGGCTGGCCAGGTCTCAGTGCGATACAGGTGCCTTGGGTACTTCCGAGGGGTGTCACCACTAGTTCACATTTGTGCAGGACACTCATCTCAGAAGGCTTTGTTTAATGTGCACTTCCCCCTGGGCAAGACACTAGTGAATAAGGGAACTCGACCATGTGAAAACTTAAAGATGGCTTTTCCTTTGCTGGTTTTGCCTTTGTATTTAGAAAAGCCAAGACAGCTAGTCTCCACAGCTCATTTGAGTAGCCTCAGTTACATGAGCATCTACTTTGCTCATATTCAAATCTTTACACTTTTTTAAAAGTTGCCATACATAAAAATAGCTGTACCCTATGTTGCTAACACCCAAGTAAGGAAGGAAGGAATCATTTTCTAGACACAAGATAGCCACACAAGGATGACCAAAAGAGGGGTATTTCAGCCTGCTGCACTCTCCTAGCTATCAAATGCACCCCTCAATGCCCTCCCTTAATGTCCTCAGTCATTTATCTCATAGAATATTTGTGGGTTCTAATGAGCACAGCTCTGCCGTGTGTGTGTGTGTGTGTGTGTGTGTGTGTGTGTGTGTGTGTGTGTGTGTGTGTGTGTGTGAGAGAGAGAGAGAGAGAGAGAAGGGTGAGGTGTCTGGACTATTGCTTTCTTCAGCTGCTGCTTTGGTAGTTAGGCTGATTAACAGTGAACCCCCCTCCCCCCATTGGAATGTAGATATGGCAGAAAAGGAATTGCCTCAGGGAGGCAACAGTGAAGCATATGATAATCTTCATGGTTTGTAACATCTCAAGCAGGTACTCTGAGTTGTTATTTAATATTACTCATTAGGTTTAATGTTCATTTTAACCACCCACTTGTGGGCATTTTTGCTTTTCTGGTAGTTTGAAGAAGTTCCTTTCATGACTATCACTCTCATTACAGGCTTAATAGTTTCAAATTCTGGATGATTATCTTTTTTCTCTTGACTACTTCAGAAAGTCATTCCCCCTCCCCCCGTGGAGAAATTGACATTAGTTCAATCAATGTTTACTGAGCACCTACTGGCAGGTACATTGCTGGGAGCTTACTACCTAATTCTCAGTGACCAGCAGAGTCAACATCATCTGGGGACTGGTCAGAAACGTAAATTTTCAGGCCTCACTCCAGACCAACTGAGTCAGAAACCCTGGGGGTGACCCCTAGCTATCTGTGTTTTTAAAAAGCCCACTTCAAAGATTATCCTCATCAAATGCCAACACAACAAATATATTGTTAGCTTATTGAGCTAAATCTGAAAGTGTCATGTGTCCTTTGAGGAAACAGAGGCCCGGAAGCCAAAGGCCACATAAGGATTTGGTGGAGGGACCCAAACCAGAACTAAGGTCTCCTGCCCAACATTGCCAATATTCTGTTTCTTTTCTGATGCTTTAATCCCTAAATCTTACAGGAGCTCCAAATATTACTGACCCAAAGTGCAAATCTTGCTTTTCAAAAAAAAAAAAAAAACAGAGAAACTGCTCTCTTTGCTAATAGGAACCACTAACAAAATTTAAAGTCCAATCTACCGAAACCATCCAGAAGACTAGCAGTAACTTTCCAAACCTTTAACACATATCCAAGTTCCATTTACAAGATCTAAAACTGGGGTGGGGAACAGGTAAAAAAAAAAAAAAAAAACCAATAAGTAATGTGATCAGAATAAAGTCTGGAAGAATATAAAGTACACAAAAATATCAACAGTGGTTCACCTTCTGTGGGAGATTTACAAATGATCTTTTTTTCTTTGTAATTTCCTGACATTTTCCCAACGGTTAGATATTACTTTTATAGTGATCATTAAAAAAAAGTAAAACTGGGTTTTTGAAATGCTATATGCATATCAATCAACATGAAGGTTTATTTTATAATTCTATTTCTCTCCATAGAGCAGGATATTGTGTGTGTAGTAATTATTTATATCATGCCATATGTTATAATGAAGATGAAATTCGATGAATATATTCCTTCCAGCTGGCACTGAAAATGAAGAGGTTAAATGCTTTCCTAGGTTCAAAGCATTATGAATTAAGACAAGTTAACTGTGCAGCTAAAGGAAAATTAATCCCAGCACTGAGATCTCTGAGAGCATCTCTTTTGAAAAATGTTGATGTGACACAGAGCTCCTTACTCAGATCTCCCTGACGTTTAACCCCTGGCATAAAGCAGAATGTTCAGCAATTCCTAGCAAAGTCTAAAGAGTTGAGGGGATAAATGCATGGGAGAATATCAGAAAAATAATAGAATGATCCTATTTTCACATAAAATTCTGTCCCTGTGGACAATCAGACATCTAAAACTACTGGCAAATTATATTGTCCTAAATACCCTTTTAGGAAGTAACTAGATTTATTGATCACAGCATAGTGCATACAAATGTCAAATCATGATGCTGTACACCTGAAACCGATAGAAAATTGTATGTCAATTGTACTTCAATTAAAATGTTTTTCCTTTCACAAGAAATGTTTGCTCTTTTAAAAAATATCCATGATGGATTTTTTATTCCACAAATCATTCATAAATAAATATAACTGTCTCATTTAAACAGACATTTCTGCCATATAAGCACTTGATAAGAAAAATTTGCTGCTTGGAGAAAAACTAGCATTGTTTTACTAAAACTCTCAGCAATATATCAGTAAATGTTAATTTAAGTTTCTTAAAGGAGACAGGGAAGTCAAGTTAAGAACCAGTGTCGTGAATGTGTAAAAGGAAACACCAGTGCTACCTACATCATCAAAATACCTCACAATGGCTGACATTTCTAGAAATTTACAGGCACTTTAAAGAAAGGACGAGTTACTGGGGAATATATATATGGCACACCCCAATGATTATAGTACCTACGATCACCATATTTACACAACAATTTAGTTTGACAACAGTATTAGAGAACTCAGAAAGAATCTATCATCTTGGTTTTCTCAGCTCAGCATACATGTTTTTGCTTATAAAGGTGTATCTCCAAAGAGCATCCAATTCCCTTCAGTCCTCCCTTGTTTGACAGGGTAGGTCCATCCATCACATAATTAATAAATTAATAAGAAGAATAAGAATAAACAGCATAAAGAATAGACACACACAGAAAGTTTCTCACCAACTCCACAGTGCCCACTCCATATAATTACCCATCTGCCTATAAAAATCGACCTATAAAACCCTTGTTTAACATATTAAGCTAAACCTAACAGTTTCCTCTCTGTCTACCACTTTTTGACAAAACACACACACTTGTAGCTGAATCTCTAACTCCATTCGGACACTTACAAGCCCTGTTCTTATTCTTCCACCTGTCATTCTCTCTGGTGAGAAAATGGTCCAGTGCTAGGCTTTACCTAATTCTGCTTATTTTGGCAGTTTTACTTTGGAGTTGCTAAAAGGTATTGATTAGAAACTACCTGCAGATCCAGTTCCTAAGTGCCGATAAACACCGAGGGAACAATTCCAAGCTAACAACATCTTCAGTTTGTAGCATGGAAATGCCACTCCTCTCAACAAGAGATAAAGAAGTAACAGTCCTCCCTGCTCCATCACATTAAAAAAAAATTCAGCAGCTTTCATTCTGAACAAAATTAAATTTTCTGGGTCACTTTCCCTGTCTCCCTGGGCCACTTGCTACGCAGCCTGATAGTGACTGTAAATACCATCTCTTCAGGCAACCAGCTGAGTTGTCATCCTCTCAAGAGCAAATCCCTCGATTCCTTTTCACTGCTGCAGTTCCCAAACCCAGACCCCAACACCCACCCCTACCACTAGCTTTCTGCTCCTCCAAACCACAAATGGGAGAGCTTATTCGAAGAAAAAGTTAATGAGTCTGCTTTTGAAGTAAAGCTGCCCTACCTGCGATCCCCAAATCATCGTTAGACTGTAAGTCCCTAAAACCACCTACCGCCTGCACGCTGGTCCCAGCCGGTGTGCGCTTCACACCCCGAAACCCGGGAACAGGCTTTCTCTGCAGACCTGCACCCATCCCACACAAGTCCACACGCCAGCTTGCCTTACCACTTATGTAAGCTCGTGCCTCGACAGTCCCAAACTGCACACACACACACACACACACACACACACACCCCGACACCTGTCACACATCTGAAACGGACCAACATCCACACCCGGGCGATGAAATGACATCAACACACAGGAACTGGGGTGGGAGGGGGGGGGGGCAAGCTGTTTTAAAACATCTTCCCCCCACTTGTCTCTTGCCCATTTTTGTCACAACTACAATTACCTTAGCAACCAAAGAATTGCCTTGACTCTCCCTCCGGCTCCCGAATTTGTCCTAAAGCCAAGCTTGCGCCAGGTTCATGGTAAAGCTAGAGAAGCCCAGGAAACGGGGATCCGCAGCCTCGGGGGGGCGGAGGGGACGTCCTGGTCAGTCTCCCCGCTGCTCTCCAGCGTCTCCCTGGGCTTCGCGAGTTTCCCGGGTGGCGAGCGCGGGGGTTCAGCGGGCGCAGAGCGAAGCCCGGGGCCGGCGAGGAGGCGCGGCGGGTCGCATGGTGCCAGGGCGCGGGACGCTCGGCTGTCTCCAGCGCGCTCGGGGCCCGCCCGGCTCTCCGCGCTCGCCCAGGCCGGCGGGTCCGGGAGGTCGGTCCGCCCCCTCAGCGCCCGCCCGCTCCCGCCGCTGTGGGAAGCCGGCGCCCGGGCGGAGCTCTCGCCGCCGGGTAGGGCCGAACGCAGGAGCTGCCCCAACTCGCGAAGCCGCTCAGCTCGGCTGCTTGAAGCCGCTGCAGCGGCGCCCACTGTCGGCGTAGGGTGGAGCTGCAGGCCGCGCCGCGCGCACCTGGGCGCCAGCACCTGCGCCCGGACCCGAGCCGCTGGAGGTGGGCGGGGCGGGGCGGAGGCTCCAGAGCGCGTCCGCCGGCCGCGCCCCGCCCGGCTCACCTGCTCCCAGCGCCGCGGAAGGTGCAGAGGGCGGTCTGCCCCAGGGAGAGGAAAGCTGGGAATTCCTTGCACTTCAGCTGCCGCCCAGGAAACGGGCAGATTGGCCCAGCGAAGCGGAGGCTCCTTCCGTCGATTCCGAGCGCTGGGTGCGTCTGGAAAGTTCAGTGGCGTCAGGTTTGGCCGCGGGATTCCAGTTTCGGAGTGGTTTGCACGAGGGCCTCGGCTCTCGCTGACGTGTGTCGCTGGCGCCCTCTAAATTAAATCGGGCCGCCGCAGTCCTCGAGGGTAGTGCCAACCTCGTCATTTTTATTGATTTAACAGTCACACCACATGCTGTCTTTGTAGCCTTTTGTGAGTATTCTTATCTGAAACACCACGAAAGGACTTTCGAGAAAAATTAGCTCTGCCAGTATTCTTGGGGAAAGAAGGAAAAAGTTGAAGACAGAAAATGAGAAAGGGTAACTTGAATTGATGACATTTTTTTAATGTGGGAACTCTGAAATTTGATATTTAGTTAAAGATCTAGGAAGTTGCGTGTGGAAATAAAATAAGATTGTTGGTGTTCATTGGTAACCATGGGATTGGCAGGCAACTTCAATGTTATCAATGTAAACAGTAGCCCGCCGGTGTGGCTCAGTGGCTGAGCATGGACCCATGCACCGGGGGTCGCCGGTTTGATTCCTGGTCAGGGCACATGCCCAGGTTGTGGGCCTAGTGCCTCGTGTGGGGCATGCAACAGGTGGCCAATGGATGTTCTCTGTCATCGATGTTTCTGTTTCTCCTTCTCCCTTCCTCTCTCTCTTTAATATCAATAAAGAAAAAAATTTTAAATATATAAACAATAAATTAAAGATCTATTCTTGAATTGTATTGGGGGACTTACAATAAAATACTTAAAGGCTCCTAAGGATTGTGATTTGGACGGTCTTCATCCATGTGGGTCTAGACTCTAGAGGTTGAAATTGAAGGTCTCCTTTCCTGCATGCATCTCCCTTCCCACCATCTGTATTGATTAATGGATGTATTAGTTATTTTATCCAGTAGACAATAATTAGTACCTATCCACACACACACAGTAATTAAGTGAGAGGATGAAGTGTTAACTAACTATATTGTAGTAATAAATTTTTGCAATATATATGTCTATCAAATCATCACATAGTGTACCTTAAACTTCATGTTATATGTCAAAATATCTTAATAAACTTGAGGAAAAATCATGAAATCAGATATATATTTACTTAGATTTATATATTTTATGTATTATATGGGATTTCTAATATATGTTACATAATTTCTTATATATACATGGAAAGTATTTGACTTAATATAAAATATTTTATTACACATATATGCATATATGTGTATATAGTATACACACATACCTATATGTACTTATATTTTTTATATATATGACTTTTATAAATATAATTTTATGTAATTTATGTATGTGTATATATTATATATATATTATATATATAAAATGATAGATATAACTTAATAGAGACAGGCCACACTTTTTGCTGACATGGCCAACAAATTGGTTTATCTAATGGGAAAGGGAGCAAACAAGTAAATGTATTAAAGATATTGGGAGGCAAGTTTCACATAGTTGGAGAAGGGAATTAACAGGTATAGGAAGGGGAAAGATTAGAATAAACCCAGTGATGTGGCTTGAAATTAGAAGTGATGGTGTGAAATTATTTCTAATTTATTAATTTTTTTTCTTTTTTTTAGAGAGAGAGACAGAAACATCAATGTGAGAAACACCTGTCAGTGGCCTGCTGAATGCCCCCACTGGAGATTGAGCCCACAGCCCGGGCATGTGCCCTGACTGGGAATCAAACCCAGACCTCAGTCCATGGGATGACACTCAATCCACTGAGCCACACCGGCTGGCTATTTCTAATTTAGATAGAAAAATATATGTACGTGTGTGTGTGTGTGTGTATACATTGATATATATCCTAGCTCTGTCTACTAAGAAAGCCTAAAAGCAATTGGTCAGTTTTGCTTCTTGTTAAATCCTGAAAGAAAATAAATTTTCTGGTTAGATATTTTAGGAAAGGGTCTTTCTCAAAGGGTGACTTGAAGTCCACAGCATCTTCATCATCTGGGATACTTATCAAAACTTAGCAATAAAGATTCTTGAACCCCATCTCAAGCCTGTTGAATTGAAATTTATAGTGCTGGGTCCCAGAAATCCGCTTTTGAACAAAAGTTTACGTTGGTTCACATCCTGGCCCCCATACAGGAGGGCAAAGAGAGACCCACTCCAGATTGGTAGGTGGCAGGTTTAATATGCAAGAGAACCTATATACAAGGCTTATCTTAGGAGGCTGCAAGATGAGCAGATCTCTACAGGCGCCCACCAGAATCTTAAGAGTGTATATGAAGTCCTTAGCTGGGTTCATTCACACATATACACCATATACGTATATGGTCTCAGCAGTACCTCGCTCTGTCAAGGCTGTGTCCTTGGAACACTCTGGGGACAGTGAACAGAAGTACATTCCAGGGACAGGAGAGAGGTTGAGGAGCCTTTGATTGCCTGGGTCCCTAGGGGGAGTCAACCAGGGATCACATCCCCTTGACCTCCTTCAAAAATGTGTGACCAACCCATAGAATGTGGGGTGCTTACTTCATAGAATGCCCAGCATTTCTGTTAACTACTAATTTCATAATCTCCTTCTTAGGAGGGGTCTATGGCAGGCAAGCTGATTACAACATGAAGTAAACTTTCTCTTTTCAGTATGATGACACTTTAGCACTTGATTCGCAGCTTTGAAAATCATGTGTCTGGCCCTGGCCGGTTTGGCTCAGCGGTTAGAGCATCGGCCTGCGGTCCGAAGAGACCCGGGTTCGGTTCCCGCTAAGGGCACGTACCTCAGTTGCAGTTTGTCCCTGGGTCTGGTTGGGTCATGTGGGTGGCAGCCACTCGATGTGTCCCCTTCACGTCGATGTTTCTCTCTCTCTCTCTCCCTCCCACTCTATCTGAACAAAATATCGAAAAATGTCCTCGGGTGAGGATAAAAAAAAAAAAGAAAGAAAATCATGTGTCTGGGAAATGTTGTGTTTATAGCATGGTGCTGGAATGGTATTGCTTTGAACATCAGAAGTAATGTTATGTCAAAGTGGAATGCATATTTACAAAGTCTCAGTGCTTAATAGTCAGGGTGCAGGGATATGTATATGTGTAATTAGTGCATATGGAAGAAACTTTACAACAACAATAACAAGCTTTTAAAAACCTACACTAGCCCTAAAATAACCATGTGATTCTCTCCACAGCAAGTGTTTGGACCAAGTTTCTTCATCAGATCACCTCCTCGGCTCAGTTTCAGGCACCACCCTCCAGGATCTTGAGGTCAGAATTGTCACAGGATTGGCAGCTGCTTGTGTGATGTGACTTGAAGTGTTGGACAGGTCCCCTCAACCAAACATATCTTTTCCTCACCCTGCCCCACCCCCTCCTGCTAGATTTCAGGCTCCCCCTAGTTTTTCATTATCAGTTACAGCCATATTTGATTAGGACCATGGTTAATAGTTAGGAATGTGTTTCAGCAAGACGATTTCTTATTGAGGCAAAATCTGTCAGTTATAAAGTCTGTCAAAAGTCTCAAGCAAAAGACCACAAGTAGTCCCCACATACAAGAACACTGAAATTTAACACATAACACCCTCTGTAAAACATGGCAAAGCTTTCTTATTAAGGAGAACCATATTTTAATTAATTTAAGGCCTTTTGCAGGTATTTAAGAACCAGAGCTCAGCTCAAAGGGTGTTCTCCACCCTCTTGAGTCTTCTGTTTGCCAAATCCTCTCCGATATTCTAAAGAACATAGAAATGAAATGTATGCCATTTGCCCAAACCAAATCCTGAGCAAATGACCCTGTTTCTCAAGACAACAGAACTGTACCCTATGCTCAAAATAAATCTTCCTTCAATGTCCTTTTGTTCATTTCACATCATTACCCAAAATCCAATAGTAGTTTTCTCTTTAATCTATAGAACATTTTCATCATCCCAAAGAGTTCCCTCATTCCCCTTTGTATCCAGTCACCTCCCCCCACCCTCAGCTCCTGGCCACCACTGATCTCTTTGCTCTCTGTATGGTTCTGCCTTCTCTGGATTGTAATATAAACAGAATATAAAGTACACAGTCATTTGTCAGGCTTCTTTTACTTGGCATAATGCCTTGAGATTCATCCATGATGTCACATGTATCTGCAGTCCATTCATTTTTAGTGCTGAGTAGTGTTTCATTGTATTATATACCACAGTTTATTTATCCATACCAGCCACATTTTGATAAGCAGCACACTTCTGATATGCTGTTCTCCTAGGAGGCTATGACCCATCTGAACTTTGCTGGTATATATAGTCTATAAATAGACTCTATAACAAACACTGTTTGCTGTCTACCAAACCCATTCGCTACCGTGTCCTCATCCCTGACCCCCCTCAACTCCCTCCTGGCAGCCATGACTCAGGGAGGAGGACCTATTCCCACTTGTACCAGAGAGATCTTCATTAGACTAAACTGACGATCGTAGTTCAATTTCTGTGCCCATGCTGTAGAGTTACGACCATGAGACTTGATGGAAAATATCCTGGGGGCTCCAAGAAAAGAACTTCTCAGCTCTTCATCTCTTTTTTTTTTTTTTTTTGTACAGACAGAGTGGGAGGGAGAGAGAGGAAGAGAGAGAGGGGGAAACATCGATGTGAAAGGGACACATCGAGTGGCTGCCACCCGCACGACCAACCAGGGCCGGGGACAAACTGCAACCGAGGTACATGCCCTTAGCGGGAACCGAACCCGGGTCTCTCCGGACCGCAGGCGGGCGCTCTAACCGCTGTCAGCTCTTCATCTCTTGACCTCCTTAGTCCCCATAGTCTCCTGATTATAGGATCAGAAACTCATTTACATAGGCGCCTATAGCAGGTAAGCTCTAACGGAATTTTCAGTGTGTTTTCAGGTTCCACTTTGTTAGCTTCCTATGACATTGACTTCTGTGGCAAACAAAGAAAAAGAGCATGGTACGTTCTACAAAACACCTTACCAGTGCTGTTCAAAACTGTTGAGGTCATGATAAACAAAGAGACTGAGAAACTGACCCAAATTGGAGGAGACTATGGAGACATGGTAACTAAATGCAGCGTAGCATCCTGGCCTGGATCTGGACCACACAAAGGAAAGCTATCCAAATGCAGTGTGTAGTTCAGTTAGGTGTCATACCTGTGTTCATGTCTTGGTTTTTGACAAGTGTCCATGATTAGGTAAGGTGTTCACATTCAGGGAAGCTGGGTGAAGGCCATGTGGGAACTCTCTAAACTATCATTGCAATTTTTGCAAGTCTATAATTATTCCCAAAATTTTAAAAAAGCTTTAAGATCGCCCTGGCCGGTTTGGCTCAGCGGTTGGAGCGTCCGCCTGCGGTCTGGAGAGACCCGGGTTCGGTTCCCGCTAAGGGCATGTACCTCGGTTGCAGTTTGTCCCCGGCCCTGGTTGGTCGTGCGGGTGGCGGCCACTCGATGTGTCCCTTTCACATCGATGTTTCCCTCTCTCTCTCTTCCTCTCTCTCCCTCCCACTCTATCTGTACAAAAAATGGAAGAGTGTCCTCAGGTGAGGATAAAAAAAAATAAAAAAAGCTTTAAGATCATAGAATATTTTGAAAGTTATAAGGCTTCTGTGATTTATTTCCTAAAGAATCTAACTCAACTGCTTAGGATGGTTTTGAGATTTTATAAAATTTATTTAATCAATATTTATTGAGTTCTTCTTATATAACAGGCACTGTTTAGGGACTAGGGGTATGCCATGTACAAAATAGGAATACAAAATACCTTTACACAAAACAAAAAAAAAGTGTTCTACAAAAAGGAAGGTAGTTCATCCTTGCGCAGGGGCCATGCTAATCTTCTCTGTATCGTTCCAATTTTAGTATATGTGCTGCCGAAGCGAGCACAAAAAAAAAAAGGAAGGTAGTTCAGAGAAATGCATGGGGTTCAGGTTATAAAAGGTGTTGGTAGGTCATGGTAAAGACTTTGATGTTGTCTTAAGTGTGATGGAAAGCTGTTGGGGAAAAGCTTTGAGTAGGAAAATAACACAGTTATATATCCTATTTAAATTCTAGCTTTTGCCCGGCCAGTGTGGCTCAGTCAATGGTTGAGCATGGACCCATGCACCAAGAGGTTGCTGGTTCGATCCCCAGTCAGGGCACAGGCCCAGACTGTGGGCCTGATCCCCAGTGAGGGGCATGACTATCCCTCTCTGCCTCTCCCTTCTCTCTAAAATCAATAAAGACAAGTATTTTAAAAAATAAAATAAATTCTAGCTTCTGTGTTTAGAATAAACTACTGGGGGTGGCGGTACAAGGATTGTGGCCATTGTAGTCATCCAGCACAGCAAAAGGTGATGGTGTTTTGTCTTGGATTAGAATGATAGAGGTGAAAACAATGAGAAATAGTTGAGTTCAGGATATGATGTAGTTGATGAAAGTTATTGATAGATTGGATGAGGGTTGTGAGAGAAAGAGAGGAGTCAAGGATAATTCCAACCTTAAAAACTTGGGGAAATGATAATGCCATTTACCAAGGTGAGAAAAAGAGATGGAGCAGGTAGGTTGGAGACTAGCACTCAGTCTTGGCCATGTTGGTTTGACGTGGGAAGTGGTATGTTCATTTCAGTACGTTAGGGTAGAGATCAGGGCTAGAGATGCAAAACAGGTGGGATTCAAAGCCATGGAACTTAGAGATTTTCTGTGGCACTCACAGTGTCTATAGGAAGCAAAATAGGTCAAAATGCTTGAGAAAATCCTCCAAGCATACAGATTGTATTAATTACACAAAGTCAAAGTCTCTCTCTCTCTCTCTCTCTCTCTCACACACACACACACACACACACACACACACACACACAAGCCTTGGGCCTTCCCCTCCCACTGAAAATTACTGTTCTAGTTCCTTTTATGAGGCATCCAGCTGGGGCATCAGCAACTAATGCATTTTAACCTGCATTTCAGCAACATCTCTGTCCATTAGGTTTAATATACACATGAGCAGACAATTAGCACTTAAAATACCCTAACCAGGAATGCTATTCTAAGGGTGGTTGCCCCAAGTTGATCTTATCACAATTTGCAGGAAAGAATTATGGAAAAGGTTTTTCAGTTCCTTTTTTCCTATTTCTCTCCATGTTGGCCTCCTTTTTTGATAAAGTCTTTATTTCCTACCTCTTTCTTTTTGTTAGATCTCAGCTCCGTCATGTACGTGTGACAGACTTCGGCCCTCCTCACCAGCCCCCACACTCAGTTGTTCAGTTTTGGGGTTTCCTTCCACTTGACCCTCCCCACACTACTGGCATTATGCCCCTCCTCGTTTATAAGGAACATTATTCTACAGCCAACTCTGAACGACAACCAAAAGTAGACCCTACATTTTCTGGCCTGGATGATAATGCTGCTGAGCTGTCTTGGGTGTGGGAACCACTAGCACAGATCAGTCAGTACCTCAGGCTCACCTTCTCCCCAGCCCTAGGGGAACTGATCTCAAAGGCCTGGATCTGAATGAACAGGTGTTATGGGTTTGCCTAAACCTATGACAATGAGTATACCCTGTTCATGCAAGGGTGGGGTGACTGGGTGATAATTATAACTTACCTGCATAACTTGAACCACATTCATTGTACCAATGAAGACAACATTTCTAAGTGCATTACACGAATTAACAAATCCTCTGGTGTTGATGAAAGATAACTGAAGCTGCTTCTCCCCACCCAACACATGGGCTCTAAATGAGAGTGTCTGTGTTATTCCTGCAATAGGCATTTTGACGAGGGCCCAAATGACAACTAGCTGCCTGCTTATCTGTCCATTAAACTTAATTAACCCATGTACATCTTGTTGACATGTGGGTTAAAATGAAGGTCAACTAGCCCAGCCAGTGTGGCTCTGTGGGTTGAGCATTGTCCCATGGACTGAGAGGTTCTAGTTTGATTCCTGGTCAGGGCACATGCCGGGGTTGCAGGTTTGATCCCCAGTAGGGGACATGCAGGAGGCAGCCAATCAATGTTTTTTTCTCACATCGATGTTTCTATCTCTCCCTCCCTCTCTCTCTAAAAAAATCAATAAAACACATTTTAAAAATAAAATAAAGGTCATCCCCAAAGATCTGTTGAATCAGAAACTAAGGCATTGGAGACTGAAAACCAGCAATGTGACACGCTCTCTGGGTAACTCAGGTGGTTCTGGACCCTAGAGTTGGAGGACTCCAGCTGTAGAGAGGAAGAGGAGGGGGAGCCCTGCCCTGGCCCCCACGTGCACTTAGTCTGGGAAAGCACACAAGCTAAGGGAAGAACCAGCCATGTTCTTCTCCCCTTCGGAGGTGGGGCCTGTACCAGACGCTGTGGAGACGTTGGGAAGAACTCAGGAGGATCTGTGGGCCTCGATGAGGGAACCCACTCCTCATCTGGGATTTCCCGGGGTCTCCAGGCACGTGGCCCCCGAGGAAACGGGCCCTTGTCTCATTGCTGTTTACCGTAGCTCTGGGGTGGACCATGTATGATTCGACTGCGAATCTTACTTTCTGGGAAAAAGAAAAATTGTTCTCTAATCAAGAAGAGGAGAAGACTTGGGATACTTTAAATACAGTTGCCTGGAAACCCCAGCTGTTCTGTACCTCAGGTGGGTTTCAAGCAAACCTTTACCACAGTAACTCAACTCCCTTGCTGCTTCCTTACATTATGTTTGCTTTTCATTCAAATATATGTCTTAGTAGGCAGTAAAACCATATTATCCCTAGGAAAATAGAACAGTTGACTAAAAGGAAGATTAAAAACCAATCCCCAAGGAAACATGAGCGTGCTTAGTTTTGAGGAGGATGGGTTGTTTAACAGAATTGCATACCAAGGATGAAAACTATTTCACGTAATGGAAAAAGATCGAGGTTTAAGAAAATATACACACAAATATTTACACTGAGAGAGTATTTTTAAGGAGGAGACTTTTTTTTTAACTACTGTATCAAACCAAATGGGAACACAAAATTATTTTGATGTAAACCAGATCTCTCTTTGTATCTCTTACCTCTCAATTAATGAAGTAAAGCATTTCAGCAGTAACATCCCAATCCCAATAAACTATGTGTTTTCATGCTCTTGGGAGGCCTCTAAAATTGGACAAAATTAAGAGCAAGAATCTATTAGCTAATCTTTTCATGGGGTCGGGGTGTAGCAACTGATTTAATGCAGCAAGAGGAAAGCAGCCTGTACGTGGTGAGTGCAGCCTCATCCTTTAATGTGACTGTGTTGGTAAATATCAGAAGTGTTATTTCCAAATGAGATCAACTCAAGCTGAAAAATCTAAGAACCACCGGTATAAAACACACAATTAAAACATTCTTCCAAGTCGGCCGTATACTAGACAGGCTCACATTGACAAGAAAGCACGGACACCAACGTTAGCAGTCCTAGATGACAACGTCTGCAGTGAGTTTCTGCTAGTTACTTTGGAGGTGAGGCGACGGACCCAGGCGGAACCCTGGAATGCCACAGGATGGCAGCTGGAACAGGACCAGCTCCCCCAGCTCCAGCCCTGCATGCTTCTTAATGATACCTGTCCAAATGTTTGCTGCCATTGGGTATGTGTTGCTTTTTCAGCCGAAGAACACTCAGGACTAAAATAATGATAGGAGAAGGAGCATCTGGGCCGTGTGGGGAGCTGCAGCCCAGGCCACGCCCTCTGGTAGCCGTCAGGGGTCACAGGTAGAAACCGCTGTGGTTCCCATGTCCCCAAACTCCCTGTTTCTTGGCTCTGGAGCAGTCGAATAATTCAGAGCTTCTGTCTGCATTTGTAAACAGTGGTAAACATCTTTCTCGTGCCAAACTGCTGTGTCTATACTTTCAAAAGCAGCGGCAGAAGAGGGTATGTGACACTGACCCAGCACTTCTCTGGGGACCTCTGACAGCATCAGGGCCTGTCATCCCACGTGTCCGCACCATGAAAGCGTGCAGGGCAATCCAGTGAGTGAGGAGAAGTGTCTAAGGTCTTTGGCAGCACTAAAGGTGATCCTAATTTCAGCAGCATTGTTAATGACCTCTAAACCAGCATTTTCAGCCAGTGTGCCTTGGGGCACTGACCTTTTTCCCTTAGATTGGCAAATCGATAAAATGACAAGAGCCAACATAACAATAGCCGTCCAGTGTGAATGAATCAAAATTATACCTATCTTTTTGTCAGATTGGCAAAATATATAGTTTTTTGTTTTGTTTTGTTTTTTGGTGTGCCGCAGAAATTTAGTAATTAGTTTATGGGTGTCATGAGATGAAAAAGGTTGAAAATCGCTGCTCTAAACTATTTAAACATCTTTCCTGTCCCAAGACTTTAAGCCAGCCTGACCTAGGAGGGTACGGTCCAAAGTGCTGGCCTCTGGCATCCTGTTTCTGGACTGCTAGGACCCTGACCCTATGCTTCTTGCCACCAGTGTTCAGCCACGTTCTCGTGTCTGGCTGGCGACCCCTGAGCTGAGTTTTTTCAGCTTCACCCTTTGCACACAAGACATGGATCCTCAAATGGTACTCATCGAAAACTCAGCTGGGCTGCTGTGCACCAGGGGTTGTGATTCAGTGACTTTGGCGTGTCCTGGGACTCCACTTTTTAACAAACAGCATGACCGTGGATCACTGGTCCTCCATCCTTTGCCCTGCGCTGCTGCCCTTCGCTGCAGACAAGCCCCCTGACTCGGCCACAGGGACCTCCATGGCCATTCTGCCAGCCTCGCCCAGCCTTCTATGCCCTAAATGCCCACTCCTTTCAGGCCCCCACTAGGCCAGTCCCCTCAGAGGCCCCGTGCTTGGGCGGTGCTGCCTCTGAGTGGTGTGGGCTCAGCTTCTGGAGAATTCCTAAAGCATCGCTGCCTCCCAGGCCTGCAGCTCTATGCTTAAAATCAGGCTAATTTTCTTTCCAACCTG